CTAACGGATCTGGGGTGTGATCCTGGCCGTTGATCCGTTTGAGATCAACGGCCCAGCTTAGACGGGATAGAACGATGCCGTTTGGACCCCTTTAAAGAGACGGGCCATTTTGCTCATCGGGCCAACTCGTTTTGGGCCTATTCTTGTTTAATTTCCTGGCCCAATACCGAGTGTCCTCCTTCCCTTTCCATTTTAATTTAAACAAAACTCTTGAATAATTAAAATAAATTTATACACCCACAAATTAACACTTAGTAAAAATCAACCAATAACAAGAAACACTTATGCATATATTTTCTTTTTCTCTTTTGGAGTAATTTCCGCGAAGCAAAAATCACATGCTTACAAGTACTACTTGTTCTGCTAAGCCTTTTGATCTTGTGTATGCTGATGTATGAGGTCCTTATAAGGTTCCTATACATGATGGTAAGAGATATTTTTTGACTCTAGTAGATGATTTCTCTAGATATACATGGTTCTTCCTAATGCCTACTAAAGCAGAGTCTGTTGTAGTGCTAAAGAACTTCCTAATATATGTCAGAACTCCATTTGGATGTGGAGTGAAATGCCTCAGAATAGATAAAGGTACAGAATTCTTCAGTGATCAGGTGAATAATTTGCTTAAGGAGTGTGGGACTGTACACCAAAGTTCTTGTGTCTATACACCACAACAAAATGGTATTGTAGAGAGGAGACAAGATATATCATAAACATTGCAAGAGCACTAAGATTTCAGGCATTTGTACCCTTAAGATTTTGGGGAGAATGTGTATCCATAGCTGTATACCTACTCAACAGATTGCCTACTGTGTTATTGAAAGGACAGTCACCTTTCCAGAAGTTGTTTGACAGAGCTCCTTCACTATAACATCTCAGAGTATTTGGTATCCTGTGCTATGTTACCAAAGTCAAGAAGGGTGATAATTTAGTCCAAGAGCAATTCCAACAGTCCACCTTGGATATTCCACAACTCAGAAAGTATATTACCTCTATGAACTAACCTCTAAGGAGTTCTTTGTAAGCAGAAACACTGTCTTTCAAGAAGATATCTTTCCCTTCAAGCACATAAACATTGGTCTTTCTCCTATATTCCATGTGGTGCAACTGGTTGAACCTGATACTCCTGAGTCTTCTGATGTGTCTGCTCCATTTCCTTTTCCTTCGAACTTCACTTCTGATGATGTTTCTCAGCCTATTCCATCATCTCCTGCCAGTGATTCTTCTCCTCAGCCAGTAAAACTTAGAAGATCCTCGAGGGAATCAAGGCCTCCTGTATGGATGGGAGATTATATTGTTCAACAGAAATCCTCTTGCCCATATCCACTGTACAACTATGTGATATATGGCCATCTCACTCCTGCTTACAGGTCCTCTTTAGATGCTTATTCAGCAATTGTAAAACCCAAGACCTATGCTGAAGCCAGTATTGATCCATTATGGGTGGATGCTATAAAGTCTGAAATGTCAGCTCTTGAGAGAAATAATACTTGGACAATTGTAGACCTTCCTCCAAACAAAGTTCTCATAGGCTGCAAGTGGGTGTTCAAGGTCAAATACAAGTCCACAGGAGAAGTGGAAAGATATAAAGCAAGGCCGGTTACCAAAGGCTACAACCAGCAAGGAGGGTTGGACTACCCTGAAACATTCTCCTCTGTAGCTAAGATGGTCACAGTAAGGTCTATAGTGGCTCTTGATGTTGCTTCTCATTAGTCTGTGTTTCAAATGGATGTTTATAATGCATTTTTATAGGGAGATCTATGTGAAGAAGTTTATATGCAGATTATGGCTTTTCAAGCCAGGGGGAGTATTAGAAGGTGTGCTAGTAAAATAAGTCCTTGTATGGACTTAAACAAGCTCCTAGATAATGGAACTTAAAGTTGACAGAAGCATTAACAGATCTAGGATTTGTACAGTCACACTATGACTATTCTTTGTTTACACACAAGAAGGGAGCAGATTTGGTGATTGTACTTGTCTATGTTGATGATTTTCTTGTGACTGGCAATAATCTAAACTTGATTGAGAATGCTAGAAAGGACTTGCAGAACAGGTTTAAGATGAAAGACTTAGCACTACTAAAAAAATCAGGTTTTAGCGACGGAAAAATTCTGTAGCTAAACAGAAAAATCCGTTGCTAATTTCATTTAGTGACGAATTAGCAACGGATTATCAAGAAATTCTACTAGCTACGAGCGTTTTAGCGACAAATTAGCGACGGCGTTCGTAGCTAGTTTCAGTTTTTTGTAGTGTAGGGGAACTGAAGTATTTCCTTGGCATAGAGTTTTCAAGATCAGAAAAAGGCACCCATATGTGTCAGAGGAAATATGCACTTGAGGTGCTATCTGAGACTGGTCTATTAGAAGGAAAACCAGCACATACTCCACTGGAATTCAATTACAAGCTTACCTCCATAGAGTTTGATAAGGTGTTCAACAAGGAGGACTTGTCTGATGACAGGTTGCTTGAAGACAAAAGTGGCTATCAAAGATTAGTGGGAAGACTGTTGTATTTGACCATGACTAGACCTGACATAGCATTTGTGGTGCAGGTTTTGAGTCAGTTCATACATGCTCCCAAGCAGTCACATCTAAATGTTGCTATGAGAGTTAGCAGGTACATTAAAAGCAATCCTAGTCTTGGGCTATTTCTACCATCAACTAGCAGTCAAAAGCTGGTTGCCTTCTGTGATTCAAATTGGGGAGCTTGTGTAGAGACAAGAAAGTCAGTTACAGGTTATGTTGTGAAGTTTGTCGATGCCTTAATCTCCTGGAAATCAAAGAAGCAAGGAACAGTTTCAAGAAGCTCAGCCGAAGCTGAGTTCAGAAGCATGACCACTACTGTTGCAGAGATAAAGTGGTTGGTTGGATTATTTGAGGAGTTAGGAGTATCAGTTGAGCTTCTAGTTCAACTTCACTGTGATAGCAAAGCTGCAATTCAAATTGCAGCTCATCCTATTTTTCACGAAAGAACCAAACACATAGACATAGACTGTCATTGTGTAAGGGAAAAGATTCAAGAAGGAATGATTCAAACTCAGCATATTGGTACAAGAAAGCAACTGGCAGATATCTTCACCAAGAGTCTATGCAGTCCACAACATGATTACTTACTCTGCAAGCTGGAATGAAGAGTGTGTTTTCATCCCTCAGCTTGAGGGGGTGTGTAGAAGAAACAGTTGTAGAGTCTAGTGGTTAATTTAATACTTTGTAATTAGATGAAGTTAGTAGATAAAAAGGGTGGGTTAATTAGTTAGTAGTATAAATAGGAGTTAGTTATATATGTACAGTAGCTACTCATAATTAGTTAGAACAGTTTATTTCTAATACAGAGAATGAAGCTTTTACTTCTTCTTCACCGACTTTTTTTTATTCTTCTGTCATGGCTGTCTAGGTCAACACTCACCAACCAAACAAGGGGAAATAAGTGATAAAATCACTCATTTTCCATAAAAATATTTTTTACGAAAACATTTTTCATGGAAAGCATTTTCCTTCGTATCAAACATATCCATAATCTGTGTATTACCATTTCTATTTTAATGAAGTACAACTCAGCTTAGGAAAGAAAGAGAAAAACTACTACTACTACTCAGTTAGGCTTACGTGATTAATTATTTCACTGTACTATGTATTGGACAACCAATTAAACTTACGTGATTGCGTTAATCCTACAATTTAATTTGCGCCACTCAGCCATTTAGTCCCTCTTTTCACTCCTTTGTGAGTTGTGACCTTCATTAACTGTAAACATTATTTGGGTTAATAATGCTTGAATTTTCAGAATATAAAAACGATGACCAAAGTTATCTTATTTTATTTGTAGATTAAGGGGTGAAGATTCGCGTTTAAAACAGGAACAACGGCACTTTGTCCAAAGATTGCAAAAATAAGGAAAATGCTGCCCCTTGTAAATGTGTAAAGGCAAGGAAGAATAGTTCTGCGTCACTAGGTCATCGGGAAACATTGGTGCGTTTGTATAAGACAGGCTTAATATATTTATTTTAAAAAAGCATTATGCAAAGGTCAACACGTTGATCGTTGTCCATTTCTTTTTGTGTTGAACACATTTCTATTTATTTTAAGATAATCCCCCCGGATTTCTTATTATGCTACTCCGTAGTAATTACCATTGTTTTCCAAAAAAAAAATAGTAATTAACCATTTGGATCCTGAAGGTCGTGATTTTAGATTTGATTTTATAAGTTGAATATTCGAAACTTATAGACGTAAAAAAAAAAAAGACACGTTCTTTACGAGAAGTTTTCCTATTTTAAAGCTTGAATTCGAGTTTTTTGGTTAAGGGCGAAAAATTTATTCGTTCCATCACCCTCCACGATGCTATATACGTTGTTATAATGTGGTAGCCAGTAGGAGTAACTTACACATTCCTATAGCTAGCAAGTGACATCCATCGTATTTAATGAAACAATTATTATGCTAAAATGGTACTTCATTCGGTCCATAATAAGTGACCAATTTGCTTTTGGCATAATACTAAATTCTATACAAAAATACCTAGTATGACTAAACTACCCTTAATTAACTATTTAATGTGAGGAGTAAGAAAACTTTTTAGTAATATTTATATAAGAGTAATTTTATAAAAATAAATTAAATTTTTTCTTGATTATATAAATAAACACTTATTTTGAATCAAAATAAAATAATGGAGTAAAAGTTGTCACGGAAAATTATGTGGTTAGGTACTATTGTTAAGGGGACGGCGGCACAGCACGCTTGACCTTACTTTGTGCCAAACTCGGAAGACAGAAATTTTCAACGTAAGAGTTACAAGGACAAAAAGAGTAAAAAACAAAAGAAAAAGGAAAGAAATAAAAGAGACAAAAAGGAAAGCAGTAAAATCCACAAAAAACAGAAAAAATTTCAGTGTCCAAAATTCAACGCCGCACGTCTCCAGTGAAATTGGGATCATATTCCGGAGGCGGACATTCGTTGACGTGGAATAATATTATTGGTCTAAGAAACCGGCTTCCTCCCAAAATATTCAATTGCAATTGCCATTCCTCTCTTTCCTTCTCCCATTTCTAACCGTTCCTTCTCTCTCTTCCGTGCCGTTTCCTGGAAAATTCATCTCAAGAATTTTCCCGGAGAAAAGGCATCTTCATCATTTACTCAATTCATTTATCTCCAAAATTATCTAGCCACTGCTACTGCTTGATCGTTTGTTGATACAATTTTGTGTATTAAGTAGTTACGTGATTTTCTTAGGTTCAATTTGAAAATTGCTGTGGATAATTTTGATTGGAATTGGGAGTAGAGATGACAACGAGTCAAGGAGGAGGACCGTCGTCGAGGAGGAGCTCGATGTCGTTGACGAGCACGACATCTAACTTGAAGAAGAAAACAGCGGGTGATATTAATGGTGGAGGAGGAGGACAACCTGATTCCGCTCCTCGAAAGTCCATGTCGTCGTCTCGTTCCATGTGCGTTTTAATTCATCATCATCATCCTTTGTTAAATAAAGCTCTCTTGCAATGGTTTTTGTAGACATGAATAGCAATATCTTTATTCGTTCTCTTTCATTACGTATAATTTAACTTAGGTTCAATTATGTAAAATGTCATTGAGGCTCAATATCCTGGAATGAGTATGTATGTGAAAAAACACTAGGTCTTCTCATGAATCTCATCTACGTAAGCCTTGTCCCTTGGTGGACAGAATTACCCGGTACCTGTGCTGGTGGGAGTTAGCAAGTATTCGGCGTGCAGGTTGGCCCGGAGACACCATCATAAAAAATAGAAAAAGAAATGATCGAGATTTTTTGGGGGGCTCTTGGTGCAATATGCTCCAATTAATCCTGTCATTGACTCAAAACAATTAAGCGTGAGATAGGATGTTGGTTTTGCTGTACTAGATACTCTCGTTGCTTAGTTTTTCACTTATTCTAAGTATTGGAAATTTGGCACTAGAGCTGTGTTCTGGGGGACAAGGACCAAAGCTAAATGTGAGATGGAATAATGCATGCCTAATGCACTAGCATTCTGGAAATTAAGCTTTTGGAATCGAAATCCAAATATAGGTCGCTATCTTATATTATACTAAGTCAAAGCAAACTGGATTAAGAGCTGGAATAGAGTGAATTGCAGTTGCATATAGATGATTGTCACAGCCTGTTTACCTGGATTTCCTCTATACCAATGGATCCATATCAAACTGGGCGTAGGGAGTCCATAACTATCCTTAAAAATACATGGAAAAGCTGTGTTAATGAATGTACCTTCTCTGCTACATATCCACGTTCAATATTAAAAGCGAGTGTGTGTTACGTGGTTCATTAGGCTGTACAAGTTTGCTTAAGGTTCTTGCCAATTCAGTTTATTGGCTTTAGTCTGTTCTTCGTTTGGGCTGGTTGAGTTTGTCTTGTATGCAACTTATCTCTGCCTTTGCTTAGCCATTAAAAGTCACCCACTTCTTCATCCTTAACTTGTTGACCACAACGTGAAAAATGTATTAAGTGACAGTCATAGCTGGAAATGTTTTTGCTAGTGAATGTACCGAATGTTAAAATTATGATTTCAGGTTAGGGGTAGTCAAAGTGATCATTTATGTATCATTTCTTTCTAGTAATAATATTTGGTTCCCCAACACATTTTTTTTTCAGGGGATTGACCGGAGAGCGGACAGTGAAGAGACTGCGACTGTCGAAAGCCCTAACAGTACCTGATACTACAAGTATTTATGAAGCTTGCCGCAGGATGGCTGCTCGCAGAGTTGATGCTTTATTGCTAACTGACTCAAATGCATTACTATGTGGTATCCTGACAGATAAGGTTTAATTAAATCTTGCATAACTATCATAATCCGACCAAATAAAATCAAGTTACGAGATTTTTCCTTTGACTCCAAAAGAGTATCTTTGACTAACTTCTCTTTGTGTCCTTTTCGTGTATTTGTTTGGGAAAAATGAAGGACATAGCAACAAGGGTTATTGCTCGTGAAGTTAATACTCAGGAAACACCAGTTTCAAAGGTTATGACAAAAAATCCAGTTTTTGTGCTTTCTGACACACTAGCTGTAGAAGCCTTGCAGAAAATGGTGCTAGGTTAGAATATTTGGATACAGCAAATGGTTCATTCTTTCATGCATGGTCAACATCTCACTGTCATGCCTGGCCACAGGAAAATTTAGGCATTTGCCAGTTGTGGAAAATGGAGAGGTCATTGCTTTGCTTGATATAGCAAAATGTCTTTATGATGCTATTGCTCGACTTGAAAGGGCAGCTGAGAAAGGAAAGGCCATTGCAGCTGCTGTTGAGGGAGTTGAAAAGCACTGGGGCTCATCTGTTTCTGGTTGGTAGAGAATTTTGCATTGTTTCTATATTTCATTGATATAGCTTGTGGCTTGTAGGAGTACTTGGGGTTGATTTTCCAAGTTCCCTGTGGTTGAATACATTATTTGATCTTCCATTGCAGGTGTCATTTATTAACCTTTTTTTTTTCTTTTTCTTGTTTGTCTCAGGTTCTAATACATTTATTGAAACACTTCAGGAGCGGATGTTCAGGCCTTCACTGTCAACCATCATCTCTGAGAATTCAAAGTAGGTAATATCCTTACTTTTTATATTATTTAATCTGTGATGCATAGCTTGTAATCTGTAAAATAAATTTTGTGTAATTGCTATTACTTGTGGTGTTTCCAGGGTTGTTATAGTTGAACCAAGTGATACTGTTTTAGCGGCAGCAAAAAAGATGCTTGAATCTCGAACAAGCTCTGCTATAGTAATGGTTGACAACAAACCACGAGGAATTTTAACGTAAGGTTTCTCTCCTTTCGACATGTCAGCAATTAGTTATGAGCTATAGTGTAATGAACACTAATCATCTAATGAAAAAATCTGCCTTATTGTCGCTGCAGGTCAAAAGACATGTTGATGCGAGTCGTAGCTCAAGATCTTTCCCCTGAGTCCATTCTCGTTGAGAGGGTAAATCTCTATCTCCTTAAGTTAGCTGTCTCTTTCTTGTATAGTTCTGCAAGTAAATGAGATCTTAAATTTTTTTCACTTTCTTTCCTATATCTGAATTTAAGGAGAAAAAGCTATATTATTTCTGTGAACTTTTGTTTTCTTACACATTAATGCTCAGGTAATGACCCCTAGTCCAGAATGTGCTACAACAGATACACCTATTGTTGATGCTTTACATACAATGCATGATGGCAAATTTTTACACCTTCCTGTGGTTGATAAAGGTTAGATTTGATCTTCCGAAATGCAGTTTTGGAATCTGCTATTTTCTTATCCAGATTTCCTTAAAACTTTTTTAATTCTAATGTGGTGCAGAGGGAACGGTAGTTGCTGTCCTTGATGTTCTTCATATCACTCATGCAGCTGTAGCCACGGTATGAAGCATGCACACAGATGTTTAATTTGAACAGATTGACATATCAGAACTCACTAGTTGTTATGCATATGTATGCTTTTTCTGTAAGTTGACAAGCTTCTGAAATTAATGACTTCCTAGTAATATTTGCATGTAAGAGTCCTGATCAAAGAAAATAAGAAATTGTCATCCCTAAGAGGAAAGTAGTGCTCCGAGCTCCTTTGACCAGTTTATGAAGTACCAGATGCTGTTGACATATCATGGACAAGCCATTATTTCAGTAATTCATCCATGTCAGCTGTCAGTTGCGGAAAGAGTGTAAATAAGAACACATAATTCTTCAGTTCTTGATGAGCACTTTTTTTAATTCATCCATACTTTTTTACTTTTTCTGAAGTGTGGGGCAAACGGCACCCTCTATCATCACGCAACTTATTGAAAAATAAAAAAGTTCAAACTTTAATATAGATTGATTTTAGATGACATTGCTTTAGACAAAGAAACATAATATTTTAAAGTATGCTTTCTAAGTTTGGGATACTCGTCAAGGCAAAACTAGCCTTAAGCGGCTCAACTAAGAATTGGAGCAATACTTTGAACATCATTTCTGGCGCTTATCGTGACAAAACTAGCCTTAAAGCCCAACTATGAACTTTAATGAGCAATTACTTTGTTTCAGACTCTTCCTTGCAAACCTTTTATGATCTCCTATATGCATTTTCTAAGAAGCTCATCATAAGTAATTGAAAACTTTTAGGTAAATTCGCTTGTCAAATCACCTTTTTAGTGCTGTTTTGATTATAGCTATCCTCGTTGAAGTCCATGAGCTTCCTTGGCTTCCGCTTCACCATGATGATGAGCTTTCTGTGTATCCATTTGCATTTGAAATTTATAAGTTCTTTTAGGGGATCTTTCAAGTTGGAATCTTGGGGCCTCTTTGCTAAGACTGTTAGTTTATGCATTTAACAGAAGGGTCAACTATGTTTCCATATGCGAAAGGCAGCTCTAGATTTTGGAAATAAATTTTTGTCAGCATTCGCAAGTGAAATCAGATAGAGGATGTTACGATAAATCTTGAACGTCATTATGACCTTTCCTGACTTGGTGCTAGTTTTAAGATTCAGCTTTTCATATTGGTGAAGTTTCAAACCTTCCTTCAATGTACTGTTTCCTTTGATGTGTCTAGACTTCCAGTCCTTAGAATTTTTCACTCTATTGGCAGAACAAATCATATTTGATTAAAGTTTGAAGCACTAACGGTTAGAATTTTTAATTACATTTCTGATTTATAAGAAAATCTTTGTTGTTTCCCTAACTGACTAAATGCATAATATGATTATTTCTGTTTTCTTTTTCTTTTTGATTTTTGTTTCCAACAACCCTCTTCAAATATAAAAATATCAAAATTCAAAGTAGTTTTAGAGAACGCCATTATTGTTAAATAAGGCAAACGGTCTTGGAGGGTACTGAATTTTTTTCATTGTACATCTTTACAATCTCGGCTGTGTATAACAGGACAAGCTTTCTTGTTCCCCAAGTTTGTACAGAATTATTCCTTAACCGTGCCTCACTAACCAGGTGGGAAATGCTGCTGGAGCGAATAATGAAGCTGCAAACACTATGATGCAAAAATTTTGGGATTCAGCTATGGCGTTGACTCCGGATGATGATGAAGAGACACCGAGGTTCCAGCCTCGTTTTCCATATTTTCTGTTAAATTGTAGTATTTTCTTTTACTTTTTACTTATCTTTCACATTTGTCTATGTATTTCAGCGAGGGTTCACAAAAATTAGCTTCTGAAGGTGCAGAAACAGGAAGATCAATTCCCTATCCTCCGGCAAGCCTGCCAAATACTTTTGCTTTCAAGATTCAAGATCGAAAGGGAAGGATGCACAGATTCAACTGTGGTATGCTATTGATGAGCCCTTGTTAAAGGAAAAAAAGAAGAAGAATAAACTAAGCTTCTGCTGTTTATTACTGCCACATACAAACTAAATTTTGAACCTTATTCTTCTTTTTGACATCTGGAGACTTTCCTTCTGATATAATACTCTCCTTGAAGCTCTCGATTCCTTTCAACTTTGCATTAGCATTTCACATGTGATTTCTCCATGTTACTCTTTTTCTTCTTTGGTTCTCCACGAGTGATCCTTATACAAGTCAGTATCTATATAGTGAGGGTGTGTTATGGGGATTTGATGAACTAATAAGGATGGCTTACTTATCATATGTGTTGGCACTCTTGAAAATCTCCGTCATGCATTGGGCATTTAGCAGTACAGAGTTTGTCTTCATCTCAGTGAAATCCTTATTCTCCGTCAAAGCTAACAGTTAATAATTTGACTCCCATATGGTCCTAATGTTTTTATAATTCAGATATACGGAGCATGACAGATCTCATAACTTCAATCATTCAGAGAATGGGCGACGACATTGACCGGAACAACCTTCCGCAGATTCTGGTAAGGATGCATGAATTTTTCCTTGTACACATCTCTTTGTCCTCTCTTGTGCTGTATTAACTAGTTGACTTTTATGTTCATGTTTAATCGCTCTCTTGCAGTATGAAGATGAAGATCATGACAAGGTTATTCTAGCATCAGATAGTGATCTTATAACAGCAGTTGAACATGCAAGGTTGTCAGGTTGGAAGGTATGATTGGCCTTTTCTGGTCCTTGGTTCAAAACCAGCTCTATTCTGTTGGTTTGGATGATAAGAGACGTAATAACAGGGAAGGAATACTGACTTAGATTTTTAATTATTAGATGCTGCTTTGTCTTTCATGTTACAAATTAAGGACTGATAATAGAAATGGACCTGTACAGGGATTAAGATTGCATTTAGACTATTCAGGAACGCCTGGCCGGAGGAGAGGTTCGCAGTCCGAAAGTTTGGATTATGCTCATCCAGAAACTGCATGGGCTTCAGCCTATACCGCTGTAGCAGCTGGTGCTGCATTAGCTGCGAGTTTAGGTTTATTTGCTTTCTTAAGGAGATCCAGTGAATGATCACATCGAAGTTGCCACTTGATATACTCTGCACCAGGAGCAGCAGATTGGAAATATTAATGGGTCAGTTTGATTTGTATTGTGCTATAGGATTTGGATCGGTAGCTCTAAATTTTGGAGTCCATTTTATATTTTGCCTGGAAGCTGAATTTGCAGGTGTCACTGGTTTATAGTGCTGAGAATTGTGTCCCCTACACCCTTTGTAATTAGCTCTCTGACCTAAGCAAATTTTAGTTCCCGGAGTGTAACAGAATTCAGGTGATCATATCTGCATTGATATTTATGCACAGATATTTTGCGAAACAAATTTGTTTGTGCTTGTAATGACAAACTTACATTTATTGTTCATGTCAGTGAAAAGGGGAAAAAAACAGATTGGTTGAATTGCGGTGTCCAAACTTTTGTTTCCTTTTGATTTTGATTAATTGTGGTGGTTAGTTTAGTTTTTATTTAATTCCTTTTTTTCGGGTACAACGTCAGTGGTCTTTGGGATGAGAAAGGGTTTGGTGAAACCCAACGGAATAGAACGGTAAAAGTTTACTAGTTCAATACCTTCAAGTTTTGGCCTTTGAATTAAAGTTTACATCACATAGCAATTCGTTGGCAGTCTCTAAATTATGGTTTAAACAGTATAACCAGAAGTTAATTCTCAACCTTTTATATTGTGCAGTTGCTCGTCCGACTTCCTTTTCTTTAATCAAATTGGAATACCATCTTAAAATAACTTCATAGGAGTACGATTTTTTGAGACACCTAATTTTAGAAATGGCACAATCAAATCTTTTAATGGTAGAAGGGGGTGATAAAGGGGCACAACGGGAGAAAATAAGATAAAGAGGGTCCAACTAGAACGTGGCTACAATAAAACCAGCCCAGGAAAAGTAAGGAAAAGAAAAGAAGAAAGAGAATAACTCAAGATTTGTCGGTGCATGATTTCACGTGAGAATAGCAAGTGAGATTGGAGATTAGTGATTTCCTTTGTCATAATTTTTCGTCGGTTTGCTTCCTTCTTTGACTAATGACCATATAATTTGAACTTTTTGGAAAGAAAAAGAAGAACTTCACAAAATTTACAGCTAGATTGGTATGGTTGTTATTTATAGTTTCAAAATTTACCATGTAGTATTGTATTATACTGTATCGTTTGGATACATACAATATTTAGATAGATTATATTGTTTGTTGTCGTTTCGTGATGTCATGCACCAACAATATGAAAAATAAACTTGTAATATTACAAAGAAAAAGTAAGGTACGGAGTAAAACTATTATATTAAAAGGTAGGATAAATAATAAAATAGAATTATTTAATAATAAGGAAGGGCAAGATGAGAAAAAACGACACCAAATCGGCCGTTCAATACGGTGAATACTTTTCGTCATTTACGTAATGACGAATTTAATGGTACGATACAATAAAATTTAAGTAACGATTAAAACAAACCTTATACTAAAGTAACAATATGATACAATACAATAAGTAACAACCATCCAAACAAGTTGTTAAAGGAAATAAAAGATTTAATATGTCTTCGCTAGTAGGGAGTATAGAAGACCCAATTAGTAGATAGCTTAAGCCACTTCAATTCAATGGTAATACATTGATATCTCAATAGAAATGGAATGTCCTCTACTCATGATTGGTACTTTATGAGTTACGTTAAGAAAATTAGCAGGGAGGAAGGTTCCATTCCCAGAATATGTTCCAATTGACAAGCATCAAGCCTCCATGTTGGCTGTGGTAGCAAACTAGTTAAGCAACAGTACCAAAAGGAAACTTCATATTTTCTGAAACATATGGCAACTTTTTACTATTACATAGGGAGAAGGAGAAGGGAGGAAAAGGGGGACAGTGATAATCGAAGCAATTATTATGCGAATGACTCCCGCCAGTACCATTAAACTACAAGTTTTGGTGGTGAAACATATGCTCACTTCACGTGGTATTTCACGATAAAAATTTACTTCCACTTGGTATTTAACCGAATCATATTAACTAATCATATCTAGGTGGTAAATTAGAAATAAATATATATTAAATTAACTAGTACTCCCCCCGTTTCATATTAGATGAGGTATTTTCCTTTTTAGTCTGTTCCAAAACAAATGATACATTTCTAAATTTAAAAATAATTCAACTTTAAACTCTTTCATTTTACTCATTTACTCTTAATGAGAAGCTTTTATAGCCACACAAATGTCATGACCCCACAAACCTTTTACCTTTTAAGCTTTTAAGACCACAAATTTCAAAAATCTTCTTTATTTTTAAACTCCGTATCAAGTCAAACTACCTCATCTAATATGAAATGGAGGGAATATGATTTAAGTGACGATATAGTATATGAAGACAAATGTTATGCATTTATTGAGTTGTTATAAATATATACAAGGGGGTGTGAATAAACTTTTTTCCTATTTCACAATTTGAATTCCAAAGCCACTTCTCCCAGATTTTTTTTACTCCTCCCTTTTCCCACTTTACAACTTACTGCTATCTTATTAACCACTTAACATTCACCCCACTAAGACCCACATCAGATCAGGACAATCTCCATTTAAAGCTTTCATAGCATCAATACATTTAATTTCATTCATTCATCTGTCTCCTTACACCTCTACTCTACTACCAGATCCTTCCTCTTTTTGGCTCATCCTAACCACAAACCTCTCAGCTTATTTAGCAGCATCCCATTTTACCTTACTGACATTAAATCAATCATTAAAAAAGTAAAAGAAAATAAAGGGGGCTCTTTAATACAGTACTGTTCATTTGCTTTTGCTCTATTATATTCATTTTTGCAACCCCAAATCTTTTAAAGAAAGTATAGTACCAATCAAGATTCAAGAATGGACCACTTGAGAAGCAAAGCTCCACCATTTGCCACTGTTTTCTTGCTCTTTCTCACTCTTTCATGGGTTTCTCAGAACACTTACGGACAACAAAAACAACCCATTAAAACAGTTGTTGTGTTGGTGTTGGAAAACAGATCTTTTGATCACTTGCTTGGATGGATGAAGAAATCAGTGAATCCGCATATTAATGGTGTCAGTGGCAAAGAGTGCAATCCAATGTCAACTAAAGCCCAACTTACTGAAACAATATGCTTCACTGATGATGCTCAGTATGTGGATCCAGACCCTGGTCACTCCTTTGAAGCCGTGGAGCAACAGGTATTGTTGACGCCTGTAATCATCTGTCTAAAAGTTTAAGCTTATGTCTCACGGTCCCTAACATGGGCGCTGATTGTGCTCAATAGGCCAAGCACTCGAACATATTTTATTTTTAGTTTCTTGCTTTTTGGTTCACAATGGGATTTGAATCCAGAGTCTCTTTCTGATACTATATTGAATTGTATGACCTCTCATCTAAAAGCTTTAACTTTATGTCTCAAAACACGCCCCTTCACATATGACAATCAACTCGTTTTTATGAGCCCAATACGTAAAAATACTTTTTTTCTTTTTGGTTCAAGATCCTCTTGTCTGTTCTGATACCATATTAAATTATGTGACTGTCTCGTCTAAAAATTTGAGCTGATGTCTCAACAGGTATTTGGTTCAGGGTCCATTCCTTCAATGTCTGGCTTTGTTGAACAAGCACTCAGTATGTCTCCAAACCTATCAAGAACAGTCATGAGAGGATTTAAGCCCGAAAACGTCCCAATTTACGCGACATTAGTTCGTGAATTTGCAGTATTTGATAGATGGTTCTGTTCAATTCCTGGTCCAACTCAACCAAACAGGTTATTTCTCTACTCTGCCACTTCTCATGGTTCCACTAGCCATGTAAAGAAGCAGCTTGCTACAGGATATCCACAAAAAACCATATTCGATTCACTTCACGAAAATGGAATTGATTTTGGTATATATCACCAGACATTACCAGCAACTTTGTTCTTCAGAAATCTGAGGATGTTGAAGTATATGTTTAAGTACCATTCATATGATTTGAAGTTCAAGAAAGATGCCAAAAATGGGAATTTACCGAATTTGACAGTAATTGAGCCAAGGTATTTTGATATTACTGGTTATCCAGCAAATGATGATCATCCATCACATGATGTTGCTAATGGGCAGAAATTAGTAAAGGAGGTTTATGAGACATTAAAAAGTAGTCCACAGTGGAATGAGACACTTTTTATTATTACATATGATGAACATGGGGGATTCTATGATCATGTCCGAACTCCTTATGGTGATGTTCCAAACCCAGATGGAAATACTGGACCTGCACCTAATTTCTTTAAGTTTGATAGGCTTGGCGTTCGTGTACCAACCATTATGGTCTCCCCTTGGATCAAGAAAGGAACTGGTAAGCTTAAAACTTTCTTTCACTAGTTACTGGTTGTAGGAACTTGATTACTTTGCCATTAGACGTGGCAAGTGGGCGGGTGGCGTCAAATTTCGACGGTCAAAACATATCAAATCAATAAATGGATCATGACTCAACTTGTCTGCTAAGGTTTGGGTTGCATTTTGATCATGACCCAACTTAAATTATTAGCTTAAGTTCTTTCAAATTTGCATAATTTTCGATCTTCAAATTTAAATTCATATGTTTAGATTTGGGTAGCATTTTGACCGCCTTGATTACACGATTTTGAACAGAGACGGACCTACCCTTACGGTAGAGGGGTCACCGGCCCGTGGTAAATTCGGAAAAATTATATGTGCATATCTTAAATAATAGGTATATATTTCAATTAGCACCCTAAGACTCAAAGCATAGGTAGCTGCATTGGTCAATTCGGGGGAACAACTAGATGGTCCTATTTTGATAGTTATGCCCCCCATTTTGAACCTAGTTACTAACATCTAATATCGCTATCCTAAAATTTAGAGCCCATAGAATTTAAATTCTCATTCCACCACTGATTTTTGGTAGTTGATGCACCTTCTTTTAGTAGCTTGTCATAGAGAGAAAATATAGATCCAAATTTGTACGTGCTACTTTCAGATGGATAAGCTAAAATATCTTTTAATACGTCAAGATGTGCAGATCTATCTGTACTGTACTCTTATCGAAGATAGTCACGGGATTCATTAAATCTTGTTTTTATTTTTCTGTATAAATAGCTCTAAGTTTGTGAATTTTTTATTAAATAATATAATAGCCCTTTTTTGGTTCTGTATTACAGTGATAAGCAAACCGAAGGGACCAAAACCAAATTCAGAGTTCGAGCACTCATCAATTCCTGCAACAATAAAGAAGATATTCAATCTCACATCCAGCTTTTTAACTCATAGAGATGCTTGGGCTGGCACTTTTGAGCAGGTTGTAGGTCAATTGTCATCTCCAAGGTCTGATTGCCCTGGTAAGAAATAACTATTTTATTGACTATAATATTGCCACAAAAATATTCTTAATTAATTGATGAGAATATATTTATATTAATATACTAGTCGGAAGTCTTTAGATAAACTTAGAATATTCATAAATGATATCGATCTTGTCACGAGGGTTTGTTCAATTTTTTAATGCTTCATCGCTGGCTATTTTAATTTTAACAAATCGCCTCCATTCCACTTCAGTTTATGTAACCATTGTTTTCGTTAAGAAAGTACTACAAATTCAGAATTTAGATTTTATACAATAAAAAGGCAGCCCGATGTCAATGTGGTTGCCACAAATTCAGATCCACACCTATTAAGAGGTCTTAGTAAGGTTTTAACAAGACACATTATCTATGGACATTCAAGGGGGAGTATTATGATAAATATCATATTTTGGTGGATGTCTACTCTTCTTCCATGATCTTCATCTCAAATGCTTAATGGAATATGTCATTGAACATACAAAATATGTCATTGAATATGTCATTAAGCATTTGAGATGAAGATCATGGAAGAAGAGTAGACATCCACCAAAATATGATATTTATCATAATACCCTCCCTTGGATGTCCAAAGATAATGTGTCTCGTTAAAACCTTACTAAGAAAAAAAAACCATAAAAAAAATCCTAGTGAAGGAAAAAGAGTACACATGTTTAGAAATACGTCTTTTGGTTGCCTCATTAAAAACCCAGTGGGACAAAACCTTGTAAGGGAAAAAGAGTACAACGCGTATTAGCTCCCCTAATGAGAGCATCAACTCACATCCTTGAGCCTTCGCATCCCAATCAGGGGCGGACCCAAGTGGTGAGAAGTGGGTTCAATTGAACCCGCTTCGTTAAAAAATAATACTGTATATATGTATAAATTATGGCTAAAGCAAGATAAATTTTGTATAAAAATTATTTTTGAACCCACTTATACGGCTTATACCGCTTATGTTAGTTATGGACTTCTTCGACTGAACCCGCTTACACAAAATCCTGGGTCCGCCACTGATCCCAATCTTGTACACCAGTTTCTTGAAGGTTGATGTCGGTAGAGATTTGGTGAACAAATCAGCCATATTATCACTTGAACGAATCTGTTGCACATTGATATCACCATTCTTTTGAAGATCATGTATAAAAAATAACTTTGGTGAAATATGTTTTTGTCCTATCTCCTTTTATGAATCCTCCCTTCAATTGGGTTATGCATGATGCATTGTCTTCATACAAAATTGTTGATGTTTGTTTTTCGTATTTCTCATGATGTACTTTTATTCTTCTTTTTTTATGAAGAAATTAAAATTTCCCAGTCTTCAATTGGATCCAAGATGAGTAATGAAGATTTATGTCTTTTGGATAGTGCTACAACTCACACAATATTAAGAAAAAAGAAAATTTTCTCTTATTTAGTTATGACAAAAGGCCTATGTTAATACAATATCCGGTAGTACAAAGTTGATTGACATAGGCCTTTTTCATAACCAAATAAGAGAAAAATTTCTTTTCTCTTAATATTGTGTGAGTTGTAACACTATTCAAAAGACATAAATCTTCATTACTCATCTTGGATCCAATTGAAGACTGGGGAATTTTAATTTCTTCATAAAAAAAAAGAATAAAAGTACATCATGAGAAATACGGAAAACAAACATCTCCAACAACATAAGACAACTTAAGTACTACTTAAAAATAAAAACAACTTTAGATGAGATAAAAACACTCAAAATAACAACATAATTGCATTCCTCAATAGAATGATCAAAGTTTAGTTTTGATCTCCAAAGAAATCTTCAACTTCCAAATGAGTAAGATCATCGAGACCTTGAAAATCATCATCTTTCAAAGCAAGATTTGCCTCGGCATTGTCATCATTTTTGTTTGAAGGCCCTGCATCAAAATCATTTTTAAAGGTCAAGTGTGACTCCACTGGGGCATTATCAGAAGATGCTCCAACATTATTTGTCTTTATTTTGATAGAGTTTTGATAAAGCCTGACAAAATGCTCAGGTGCACGACATTCAATTTTCCAATGACCTTTCATTCCACAACGGTGGCAATTACCATTTTTGCCTCTTGAAGGATTGTTTTGAGAACCCATATTGTACTCTCGTTTTCCATGACCACCACGATGACGACTATCATATCGTCTCTTACCATTGCCATACCCACGTACATTCATATGACCATGATTATTATTCTGTCTTTTTCCAGACTTATCACGTCTAACTGCCATATTTGCTTCAGGAAGCGGAGCTGACCCTGTGGGACGAGCTTCATGATTTTTCAGTAAAAGGGTGTTATGTTGCTCAGCCACTAGAAGGCACGAGATCAATTCAGAATACTTTTTAAAACCCCTTTCATGGTATTGCTGTTATAATACCATATTTGAAACATGGAAAATTGTAAGAGTTTTTTCCAGCAAATCCTCATCATTCATAACTTCCCCACATAATTTCAGTTGGGAAGTTATTCGAAATACAGCAAAGTTATACTCACTTACGGTGTTAAAATCTTGCAATCTTAAGTGCATCCACTCATATCGAGCCCTTGGAAATACCGTAGCCTTAAGGTGATCATACCTTTCCTTCAGGCCAGTCCACAATTCAAGTGGATCTTTCACTGTTAAATATTCAACCTTCAAACCTTCATCCAAATGATGACGAAGGAAAATTATGGCCTTCACCTTATCCTGGCTTGATGCCTCATTACCTTGAGTAATGGTGTTACCAAAGCCTTTAGCGGCTAAGTGAATCTCAGCATCGAGAACTCATGATAGGTAATTCTTTCCAGAAATGTCAAGTGCCACAAACTCAAGCTTTGACAAATTTGACATAGTAAAAACTATCAAAGAAAATAAATGAATTAGAAATGATTAAGATGATAGTGAAAATAAATAAATGGATATAAACATTACGAATGTTTAAATTGTGTTGTCATATAAAACATATAGTGATAATGATAACATTAATCTATTTATTAGTACGTATGCAGATTTGAGAATGAAAGGTTACGTATTATATCAAACAACAATTTCTATAAATGAAGACAAAATATACATAATAATATAGGTTTAAGGTGATGGATTTTAACGCCAATAACTAGCAATTTATCATGTTTGCCACAGTGTAGTGTGATTCATATTGATTCGTAATGATCACTTGTCATGATAACAATTTGACTTAATTCATACAATACAATACCACTAGAATGGCAAGAAGAGAAGAAGAAATGTAGAAGATAACCTGTTATACCTTTCAAATGAAGAATTGCACTTAACTTTCGACAAGGCTAGAGTCGTGCTGATTCTGATTCTCTGACAAGAACTAGACGATTACTGAATCTTGGGCTTTTTAATTTTAAGCATATATAAGGGGAGTATAGGTGTTGAAGCTAGCCTCCCCCGTGCGCGCTGCCATCAAGCCGCACCAAGTGAGCTACCTTGGGGGAGAACCTCAAGGGCCTGCCTGGACATCTCAAAGGAGTGTCTAAGGTATCCATACGAGTTTGGGAACTCTATGGACGACGCGACGCCTTAGGGCCAGCGTTGGGCACCAAACGGGCACTGAAGGCTTGACATGAGGGATGATTATGCCCTACGGGCTATCGAAATGATGGATGAAGACCACCGTGCCGATTGGATACTTGAAGCACCTTTCTTAGGGGCCTCATGTGTCGACTTGTGAGCTTAGCTTGGGTTCAGCTAGGCGAGCAAGGGTCCATTGGCCTAGACGTGCAGATGTGGGGCGACACTACACTATGTGGGATGGAAGTATGTCGCGAGGGCTATGTTTGGCCATGCCATAAGACAAGGATAGGCATGCTATGAAAGACGCAAATGACAAAGGCCAAGGACTAAAGGTTGCCCTACTCGGGCGAAGCACAAGCTGAGTGCGGATGCACGAGGCGAGTGTCAAGCTTGAGGATTAGGTTGTTCATGCGAGAGCGATGCTCAGTGCTAGGCGAAGGATGTACGTGTCCCTAGCCAACCCCGGGTGTGCGCATGGATGATGATCCAGCAGACGAGAAGCGCCACAGCTAGTCTAAGCTATGAGCCTAGACATCATACGGGCGGCACAGTTGGAGTGGGCCATTTGAGAAAGCTCCACCCACAGGCACAGGATCGTGCTAGAAAACCTGGGATAAGGAAGGGTTGGCCTGTAGTGCGGGGTGACTATAGGCGCCGCACGGGCATTTTGGTGCCGCTAGCGTCGGTGAAAAGTTGAGCTCGTGACACGTGGTATCAGAGCGATGTTAGGCCATATTCTGCCATGACAAATGATATCTAAGCAGAAGTTGAGATGGCGAGTGCATTTTGGATGTCAGTGTGGAGATCATATCAAAGTAGAGATTGATGTTCATATGCCACCAGAGATTGAGAACCTGATACAACTGGTCTAAAAAGAGGGGATGAGTTGCGTGAGTTATGTCTAGAATGTGCATTGTCAGCCATGAACTTCAACCTACAGAATCAGACCATGTCACAGTCGTTGTTTCCGCCATCGTCTGTGTCTTGAGAGGTAATTTTGGGGCATCCTAGTTTGATTGAGATATCGTAAGGGATGTCTTTCATGCAGTAGGTGCTGTTTTTAGAGGGATACTATATAGGTTGTCCGAAACTCTGCCAACAGTTGGTTAGCAGCTTTGCTAAGCAAGGCATGGTAAGGAATGTCGAACGGACTGAGAGTGTTCCTTGCACAGGTTGAATACCGTTTGAACCATGAAGGTTCAGTAGCATTTGGGAGCTCGTCAGGTTGAGGCGTTTTGTTCATGTTAAGCAGAAAGCTGGAGCTGTTGGCCGTTTTGACGAAGGAAATGGACAACCCCAGTTTCTTTCGTAAGTCTGTGCTCCAGTTGAATGTGATGATATGCCGATGAGTAGGGTGGTCAAGAAAAGGCCATGTTTGCCAGGTCGGGCAGCCATATTGCAATGAGTGTGAGCCATGGACTATAAACAAAGGGCATGATCATGAAGAGATCCTGCCAAGGATGCTAGAAGCGCATCAGTTGAGTGTCTTTCCTG